TTACCTAGTAGTACCATATTACACACTGTTATATTTTGATCCATTTCATATATAATCAGTTATACGGGGTTAACACACTAATGTTTGCAGTAGTACTCCTCAAATTATTCCAATTAAACACATTTCTTACAGTTCTTTATATAAAAATTTTTGAAAACACAATGTTTGGTTGTTTTAGTAACAATTAGGACTTCCATTCACACTTTAACCTATAATGTAAGATAGTTCTAGTAAAAAAATGTTTTAGTATACAATTAGTTTTTGTAAAAACATATGTACTCAGTATTACCTAAGATAATAATTAGTCTAAATGCAGCAATAACTAATAAGCACAAATCAGATGAACACACAAATTAAATTAATTGAACAACACACAACAAAGAGAACACACAAATTACGTCTCATAGTTATACCGAGTTGATAATTTAATATTAACTCTCAAATACTGCTTTCTTTTTAGTGCATTTCTACCGAGTCTCACAACTAAAAATAACCCAAACCTCTCTGAGTTATTGTGCCAACCGTTCAGGTTTGAATACAAATTTTATCTAACAAGACTGCCGCTACGGTTATTACATCATTCTGGTCCTCTAGAAACTTAAACACAGACAAGTGGGAAAAAACATGGAGCTCAGGGTAACCACAACTTCATCCTCCACGCATATGAGCACCAAGTTCACCAAACTGATCATCTGCTTCAACGGTATCGTCAGAGAGACGGACAGCATCAAGCTTCTGCTTCAGGATATCAATGGCATTCAATACCAGCTGTGAAGCCTTCACTGCTCCTGTGGATTCAACAGTGAATATGAAACTGTCATCTTTCGGATGGATCTCAACGAGCCCAGATTTCCCCATGGCTTCTGCTTTCTTGATCACTTCTTCATCGTACGTGTACGCTTCCGGATCAACCACCACAACCTAAAGAAGCAAAGTATCATTAACTACAAAATGATGATGATAGCAAAGGCAATAATGATATGCTAATATGTAGGGATGAATATTAATCTAATAGCAGGGAAAATTCATACAATCAACTGCAAGAGAATGGTTTACAAAATCCAACAATAAATGACTGTAAAACCGTTTTGAAATGTTACTTCACCTGTGGCTAGTGATAGCAGGATGAACAAGAAATATAAAACAGCAAGGTGCACACTGAACCACCAACACAAACTCCAATGGTACATTAAGTAATCTACCATTGACATTTTATACAACTCTGTAGTGAATCTACATAAACAGATGTTTTGATTTGATAATAAAAGTCAAGCAGTTGTTTTGATTCATTCAGCTGACTGAAGTAATTATTGTGAAAAGATCACAACCAATGGGGTCACTTGGTACCAAAGAGTTAAGTAGTGCTATCGATTAGAAAGATAAGCATATAAATGAGCTAAACGCACCAAACACATAGAGACAATACATACACACATATCACATACAAATCAAAGCAAAGTAGCCAATTAAGTAGGACAAGAACCATACTCAAGTCTCAAAGCTAAAAAGCTTGTAAAGAGGGATTGTTCAAAACCTTCCAAAGTACCTGTCTAGTGTCAGGATCAAATCCAAAAACCTTTGTCGGGCTGCTCTCAACCAAATCAATCTTCTCGTCGTCTGTCAAAGTGTCCATCATGTCTTCGTTGATGATGATGTCAGGCTCGTACATGAACGTAACAGTAGCCGCAGGAGACCATTTTGCATGATCTTTTCCAATTCCTTTCCTCGCTATCGCCCTAAGCTTCAATTCTTGTCCTCTGCGCAGTTTCACTATGATAATTCCCCTGAAAACCAAAAGAAACAGCCATGAACAAAAGCGTAACCACAAAAACAAATCACACAGCTACAAAATTCAACAATCAAAACCATCAGAAGTATTGTTCATCCCCAGATTACTCTGACACTTTCAGCTAACCAGATTTGTTTTATCAGAGTATATCAATCTCCAATTTCGTTTTAGGAGTGCCTAATCTCTAAATTTAGCATTCCTAAAGAACAAATAGAACCAAACGATGGAAAAGAGATACCTTTGCTCGCTTGAATCAGAAGCAGACGAGTCAATGGTGAAATCAACAGGAGTAACAGTAGGATCAGCACTGTAAAGATCCCTACTAGTAACATCAAGGGTTTGGTCAGTGACACATTTAGCGCTAAGCTGAAACTCAACAGAGCAAAACTCGCACTGTCCATCTCCATCACAAGCATCACAATCGCGAGAGAATCGCATGCTCATAGCTCGTTCGCTAGTGAGAGGGATAAGCCCTAATCGATGAGCGATAAACTCGTCGTTGAGAACAGAGGAGTTAACCTCGATTTCGACCAGATCGATTGCAACAGTTGGGACCTCAGAGATCATAACGCGTCGGAGAGCGTTGGCCATGGATACATCGGTCTCACGAAGCTCGAACTTGCAGTAGTCATCTTTAAGCTCACGGATCTTCACCTTTGGGAATCTCTGGTAAGAAACACCATTGTCCATCTCTCTCTCAAAGCTCGCTGCTTTTTCGACTCCTCTAGAGTTATTAGGGTTTTAGGATGATGAATTTGGAGGGTTTCTTTAGCTTTTCTCGCCCGAAGAAGGAGAGAAACAAGCGAATGTGTGCGAGTGAGTGGTAAAGAGATATAAAAAATAGTGCAGTGGTCTAAGTTGGGCTTTAAGGGCCTGTTTCGCCAGGAACTCACATCTGACCAGACTAGTGTTGGAATATGATTTTTGCATAAATAATATTGGTTTGTAGTGGGCTTATATTGTAATGGCAAATTGAATGAATGTTGAATGAGAAATTGGACAATTGGGTTATTGGATTCATGGTGAAGCCTTTCAAACTTTGGTTTAACGAGTAAAATTAAAATGTTTTGTTCCACGTTAAAAGTTGGAAACATTTTCTAGCCGTTTATAAAGGATAAAACTTAACTTTATTTTTTTTAATAACCACGGGGTGATCCAAATTTTTACCATCCGACTAATTTTCATAGGGTGAATGTAGCCGTGGAATACCCCGTAGAAAACTTTAACGTTAAATTGAAAACATAAGCACATGAATGCACCATGCATGAGAGGAAAAATATAAAAACCACACGCTTGCTCGCCTCAAGCTTAGACGTGGGCTCTTGGGAATGTTGAGTCATATCGAGTTCCGCTTGGGGTCAAAGATGTTTTTTTGGAGCAGTGTTTTGAAAAAAAATGTATTTAAATTTTGAATAAAATCTTGATTTGAAGTTGTCAAAGATATCGTTTTTAGCCTATAGCTACGATTGGATTGAAATCTACCTTTTTTCGAACAATTTGATTTCCTCTATCTTAAACGTTGATGCGAACGTTCTATAACATCTATGCAAATGTTTTATAGCGCTTCCGGAGAAACTTTTTTTAAACCCTTCATGTAATCGCTACACTGCTTTGCGAATGCTCTCTAGCGTATATGTCGAACGATAAAGCGATATGTGAAACGCTTCTACGATCGTTCTTTAGCGAGTCCGCAAAACATTTCTCAAAATGATCTATAACGTCTCTGCAAATGTCTATCTCGAAATTGCATATCGCTTCTCAAACGATCTATAGTTAG